AGTAGTCGGCGAAATTAGTGTCTGGGAAAGTCTTGTTCTTATGTTGATGGGAGTTTAGTTAGATGTATAAAGATTTGTTCAATAAATATAATATGCAACATTTTGTTTGATTCTAATTACTTTTTTTTAAACGTTGCCCCACACTAGGATGTTTTCATGTGTCGTGGGTGCGTTTACAAACATATAATTTCACATACACATGACAACCAGGAACAACAATTTATGGATTACACAAACAGTTGCCCCGTGCGGGAATGGAACCAGCTACCCGTTGAACGGCAGCCAGTTGCCAAGTCGCCGCACTAACCGTGCAGTCAAAAAGTATTAATAGTATAGAAGTAGTGGTAGAGATAATAGCACAATAATAGGTAAGATGACCCCAGTAACAGAGGTTTTCCTGGCACAGGGGTCATTGAAAATAATTAAATGTATGCACTATATATTATACAGAAGGGTCATGACATTGTACTTCTTTGTTTTGAATAATATACTGAGTCAACCAATGTCTGCTCGTTTTGCGTCACGTCGAAGTCGTGTAACAGCAGGCTTTAAAGCAAAAATAAATAAATCCAAACGAAGTCGCAGGCAAAAGCTATTCGGTAATAAAATTATATTACCTTCGTAAAGAATTTGCTTTATCTAATTACAAACTAAAATGGCATTGGTATTAGTATTAATTAAGACCATAAGAATGTGTGAACTGGCAAGTAATGGATATGCTACCTTATACGTTTAGGAATAAAAACTAATATTCATTAATGTGATAATGTTAGAATTATAAAAAGGAAGAAATAATATATTTGTAAGCGATATGTAACGTAATACGTATGGTACTCATAATTATTAAAAAAAATATAGCAGAAGTGTAGTTATCCAGTTGTATAAAGACACAAAACGACACCAACGCCATCTGTTTCTAATAAAAAGTCGAGTTCATTACATAATTATCATTAATTGAGATTGGATATTAACGTGGGAGAGCCATGCTTCGGTACAAGTGATATCATGGCCTCACAGAACACCAGCGTGCAACAACGATAGCGATGTATTTCGTCGTATGAGTGAGGTTACCGGAGGCTCAATACTTTTCTCATCCCCAATTCCCAAAAAGATCGGCAACACACTTGTAGCGCCTCTGGTGTAGCAAGTGTTACAGGAGGCGCCGACCGCGTACTGGTGACCGGCTTGTTTGCGGTACTATTGTTTTAAAAAAAATATTTAGACTTCTTCTGACGAGATTGACCATCAATAAGTATTCTAAACGGTCTATAGTTTCGCAGAACACACACATCAACAGCCTATAATGCCCACTGCTGAGCAAAACCTTTTCTCAAATAGATTAGGTTTGAGCATTAATCACCACACTTGCTCAATGCGGGTTGGCGATTTCAAACTTATAATTAGAAATTATAAGCCAAGGTTTCCTTACGATGTTTTCCTTCACCGTCTGTCAGTGGTGTTTGAATAATCTTAGAAAGTACATATAACTCGGTAAAAGTCACATTGGTACTTGCCGTTGACGTAGATAACCCATATATAAAGGCCTCACATGTGTCTTGAGAATAAAAAATCCTGTTATGACGTCACGCATGGAGCCCCTACTAACACGTCAAAAGTATGCGATCAGTGCGATCACTAACATTAATAGCAATTTCTTGGCGAAAATTACTCCCTAAATGTTACCCGTAGGTGTAGACATGTTTACATGACTCATATAATTGTTATAGCAGTTCTATAATTATTTGTGATTGGTGCAGGTCAATGATTCGGATTGAAGTTTTTGTTATTAGGTACATGTTAATCTGTAGGTAAATACAGACTATTATTATGAAAGATTGTCATTTGTCAAGAGTTTTTTGAACTTACCGAAAAATATTTTAAGTGAAGTAGGTAGAAACAAATACGTAAGTAAATATTATTATTATTATAAATATAGTTATTTCTTGATTTTTCTAAAGACTTCTAAGGAGGCTTCAAAATTGACTACCAATAAAGTGCTATTTATTATTTCTAACTGAAAGTTTACTTTTATATTTCAATTATGAGAACACCTACTAACAACACGAGCATAGACAAAACAAAACTAAACATGCCTTAAAACAAAAACCTCCTCGATCACCGTTCGAAAATTAAAAAAGTAACCGTCAAAATATATTGTCTAGGAACGCCCAAAGCTATTTGGGTAACGGACATCTATTTTTGGATGGAAAAATGGATGATGAATACCATAACAGATGTTAATGATTCTATTATTTATGGTCGGGCATTTTAGACCCTTTACGGTGTTTAACACGGTTTCCTAAAAACGGGAAAGTAGAGGAATGATGCAGTTATTGACAGAAGGGGTTAAAACGTTTAGATATTCAAACAAGGGGTTGAAACGATGCCGTTAAAAAAAATATTAAGGATTGTTAAAATCTCGTTTGTGTGACAATTTTGGGAGTTTCATTTTTAGTATTATTTAGGTAACTACGATCGCCAATCGTATGTCGTCGTTTAAATGCGCGTCTGCTGAGAATGGAGCTTAAGTTTCAGTCCCAGTTCGGACAAAATATTGGATGTTTTTCCTTTTAATAGAAACACAGTTCGGAATCGTCTAGTCGCCAGTACAATTGTCTTATTTTTTTTTTATGGGACAAACCCGCCACAACCTCCCAAAACCGCTGCAACTCTTGTAAGCCAGGATCTACAGTAAATATAAGTATGGAAAAACCGGAACACTGAAGTCCGGCGCGTACCAGGGACATGAATAACTGTCTTGGTTCCCGCAACGAGGTGAATCAGAAGATATTATAAGAAGAGAAGAAAAAAAACGATAGTTTCCACTTCCCTCGATGAATAACTGTATTAGACAGAGTGAATTAAGCCTAAAGGCACAAAGAAAAGAGGTACAGTCTCTGGGCGGTGGTAACTGGGTGAAGCCCAGTCGGCAAGCACCACGGAAATTTGACTAAAATCTAAGTGGGTCCTATGTGTGAGTTGTTATACTTGCTTACAGTAATAGGTATGGCAAAAGCGCCTAAACGCACAGAAATTTGTTCTAGATTCCACAAGGTCCGTAGAATAAACTACACCTGACGAAACAATTAAATTATTTAACATAGTGTTACGTTCATATTGCCAGAGATCATACTCCCAGAGTATGTGATGGGCGGACTGCTCGTATCGCAACTCCTCTGTCGAACATTGGCACCATGGTGAATCAAAAAGTTTAAATGAGAACAATTTGCTTTAAAGTTGTCTTATTATTAGTCTAAAGTCCACTTTAGTCACTTTAGTCCACACAAAATACAGCGAAACATCCATGTTTCGCTGTATTTTGTGTACCTTTGTGCCCCCGAGGACTAAGTGAATGGCGTAATCATCATTACATAGTATAAAACAAAGTCGCTTTCGCTGTATGTCCGTATGTATGCTTAGATCTTTAAAACTACGCAACGGATTTTGATGCGGTTTTTTTTTAATAGATAGAGTGATTCTTAAGGAAGGTTTGTATGTATAATACATGCATATTGCACCCGTGCGAAGCTGGGGCGGGTCGTTAGTATTATATATGCAGCGACCGGTGTATGGCAAAAGGCTCTAACATAACTTTATATGAAGATACTATATATCCCGGAGGGTCAATATTAAACTGTAATAAAGAAATTGTTTTTAAGTACTCCAAGACAGGTGGTTTGTAATTATATGGTTAAACTGTTTTTTATAATCTATTTTTATGCATCTTTACATAGTTAAATAGCTGATTTAAAAATACATTTTGTGTTGACAGCCCACCCATGTTATTCAGTTTTTAAATAATTTAATGATTGTATTCAACATCACTAGCGCTCTATAGTCAATCTGAACCTTTCAACTATGATTTCCAAATCGCCAACGGTGGTGATTTAGCAAAACATTTTATTTTAAACTTTTATTTTAGATTAATTAATTTAGCAAAATGTCGAAGGACAATTATATGTTACTCGAGAGACCTCCATACTCCGTGATACATTCAACAGTGTATAGAAAGAAACTGGCTAAATATTATGATCTGTGTAACATTTCAAATAAATTCAGTTATTTATTTTTAAAAGAACAATGTTTAAAATTGAACGAAACATATTTTTTGTACATTCCATTTTCGATTTTTTATTTCTAGCCAGTAATAAGTAAGACACAAGGTTGCGTGTTAGAAATTGACCATTTATCTCAAATTTGATTGGACAATGACTTCATAGCTACGTCATGGCACGGCAGCCATTTAAAAATATTATTTTAACTCTGAAAGTTAATAGTAGAATGGTAAATAATTTTTAATTGTTTGAGTGCTTATTTGTTTATTAGAATCAGATAACAATGGTTTTTTGTTTTATAATATGATAGGCATGGCACGTAAAGAATCTGGTGAAAAATTGTTTGGAAGGTCAAGAAATATTAATGAAATTAGTATTCATCTATACTGACTACAACGACGAATTGTGCTATTTCGGTTTATTTACAGCCATTGTTAAATTACGCGGGAAAATGTCACAGATAAAATGGGGATGATGACAGGGTATGAAAATTAAAAATCTAATTAGTCCGTAAGGTAGGTAATTAAAAAATATTAGACACGTATTTTTTTTATTTTGTCATATAATAAAACAATACTTAGATAAAACGAATCAAAGTTTAAGAGTGGGGGCTAAAACGTCATTTCTTAGTATAAAATGTACTGAGAAGTGACGTCACGCGACATTTCAAACCAATATATCTTCGAAACTATTCGTTTCCGTAAGAAAATAAAAAATACGTGTCCAATGTTTTTAAATAATCTACCAGACGGATATTAAAATAAAAATTAGTCGTATACCCTATTATCGAAATGTCAACGATCATAGATTGTCAACCTTTTTCCTAACCGGACATTTAAAGTCAGTTGCAAACATTTTGTCATTTTTTGACATCTATTTTCAATTAAGTGTAACAGTTTTCATTCTTTTTTTAAATTTTCTTAATAAAACAAAATGATTACTAACCAAATGATCTGAGTGGGGTTCTCTGGGCGCACTAGGACCTGCGTTGGGCCACAGCAACTTTGACAACATCCGTTGACTTTGGCAATAGATGAGCTCCTACGAAGGAGAAAAAATGAACTTTAGTTTGTTTTGAATAAAGGCTCTTATTGCCTGACAGGAGTTCCTTTTCTAATGGGGTGATCACAGGTTGGGTTACTTTATCGCCCATCGTAATAAACCTCTAACACAAAATAAGAAGGAAATCTTAGACATAGGTAAGCGTGTTGGCTTGGGATTATGTGATATTCAGCATTATTTTGATAAAAAAGAATATTACTAATCATAGATGGATCACATTTACCTACAAAGAAAACACAAACATTCATTTAGGAGCAAATTGCCACATTATACACTTGTTTCGCCCACATCTCGTCTATATATAGCTGCAAATGTACTAGATGTCCTACTAGTCTAAATATTACTTTTGCATTATATATATACCCATAGGTTATCTGGTAGAAATCACTATAAATGATAAGACCGCCTCTGTGTCCATTATTACTTTTTATTATTTACGCTTGTTTAATATTCAAGTTAAAAAATTATTTAATAGAAATATAGATTTATAATGTGTAAAGACACATATACGGACTTCAGTAATAATAGTATTATAAATAAAAATAACTACAATATTGTTAAATAGTTGCACTTAACAACATTATTTAACATAGAAGTCAATAGAACGGAAGATAGTGGAACAAACTCAGTCAAAAGGACTCCTATCGACTAATTAGACTTACGGAAGTAGGATGAACTCAGTCAAACCGTCAAACACTAGACCGAATACCAAAAAATCTTATCAACTCCGCCTACACGACATCGTGGAGGGTCTTGAAACTACATTTCGTAGAAGAGGTCCATGCCATAGTTTAACAAGTTCCACCGTACTCAATGAACGAGATTATTAATAATAACAACACGTTTTTACTTGATGCGCATGCGCCGCTGGCAATCGGACTTAATGTCCGTGGCTGGGGTTACAAACTTGAGGTCGTTTTGTAAAGGAGTTTAATTAATTGTGATCTTTAATGGCGTTTTCTTTTGTTTTTGGATTTTGTGATTGCATTAATAATTGAAATATCAGGTAATTACTTAATTATTTTCATTGACAGATTGTGCTATTGTGCACGTATCTCGCTTCTTATTATAAGTAAGTCATTCATGTTTAATGTTTCTAAGATTCTAAACAGGGCAGCACTAGTTCTAGTGACTATTACACTAACAGCTTGCAGCTAACAACAAATATACAAATAGCTCAAATAGCTTCGCAGTAAAATTTCCTTCAGATTACAATCTTAACTTTCAGAAAAAATAACATTCGAAGAAAAATACACACTAATACTAAAATATTACGTGCACAAAATTACATCTGTCAAAACTTTGAAACTTAAACCAATAAAATTTTCCTTTAACCAAAATGTTGTCCACTTCTGGACGTTAAAAAGTATAACGAGATGGTAATAATAGGTTGCGTTCCGTTCTCGCCTGCAAAACAAACATTGGACAAGCGAGCTCCGAGACAGAGAGTGCTAAATTACTTTAATTATGGTGGAAAGGAACGGTGCCGTCATTTTCTGATTTACGTTTACAATTTTAGTCAACGTTTTTTTGAATTTCGATCGATTTCGCCGGATATGGATGTGATTTTTTTTCTTTATGTTTTTTTTAAACTGCTGATGATTATGTCATTTGGATTTTTGTTATTAGTACTTTTTTAGATTTATTAAAAAAAATTGGTATGTATGTTTTTATGGCTGGCGTAATTGTTGTTAACATTTGAATTGTAAATGAGTGATTACGTTTGTGGATTTATAGACATTAATCATAGATCATAAAAATTGGGTGAAAAGAAAACGGTATTTAAAATCAATAATACTTCAGAGTAACAACTTTTATATAGAAAAAAAAATTAGATTCGAATTTTCGGAATGTCTACTAAAATATTTATCACTAAATATACTGCAATCCTAACAAAAAATATCATAGCTAAGGCCAAGAATAATTTGAAATACCTACTTATATCAAAATTGCAAATACAGATTAACCAAGAAATTATAAAGAAAAAAAGGCAAGGTGTTGTCTCTGAATTTTTATAGCACTCTGTGCAGTGGGCGGCCATTACAAGAAGTAACTTATAACGTATTTATAGATATTATCTGTGGTTGATACAGCTGTCATTATTGTTGATTTTTTCTTTTTATTTATTTGTTTAAATTGTAATCGGATGTTTCATTTTGTTAGTATTAAAGGGTTTTATTTGTGAGACGGCTGACTGACGGATGACTGAGTAACTAATTGATCAAGTGGATGAAAGTGCGACTGTCGAGGAAGTCTCGGCTTAGATTCCTGGATAGGGTAGTGATACTGGGGCATTTTCGGTTTTTCGAAAGGAAATCTGTAATAGCTTGGAGTCTGGATTTGCTCACGATATATGAAAAGTCACCCACTTTTAACTTTTCTATTGTAAACAATCACATGTTTCTTCGAGTTTTAAAAGGTGCGATTTTATGTTGCTACAGTATGTTATCTACCCGATAACTATCCTTAACATTACAGCATTATACTGAATAATAAAACTCCCCTTTATTAATGTCCGTCGATTAGATTGTTACCAATATTATATTCAACACGTTACCCCATGCCCCCGAGCTGTAGGCCCGATGGGATCTTCCACAGCTGATGTACAAAAACTGAGATTACCATACACAAAATTTACATAACATCGCGCCTGAATTCCCTGAACAGATAGATAGATGTGTAAAACAGTAGGCTCTGTGTTTAGTCATGTTTTGATTGCATAAAAGTGGTTTCTCATAATTCCAAACTTGATACAGAAATCCTGTTATTTTGTATTGTGTATTGTGTTGATGTATGGCAATAGACCCACTCCCTATTACATGGGACTTATATATAATATAAGTGGCGAAAAGTGGGTCTTATATTGCATATTATTATTATTCATAAACATAATATTACGCCTTACACTTACCCCCGAAAGGGCAGACATAGGCGCACATTACGGCACTTAATGCCATTGTACAATGTAACACCCACTTTTCACTATTTTTGTTATGAGTCCATATACTGGGCTAAATTCCAGAATCAGTGCTACTACTGAGAATTGTTTAAAAAACGATGCAGTCAATATTCATAAACACATGGATAATCTTGCAGCACAAGCCAAAACGTTATACAGTTTAGTTTACCTTATGACTTAAGATGATTGTATAGATTGAGTATATCTTACTTTACACACACATAGGGAATAAACTCATCCCGTTATGACAGAAAACTTTAATCAAAGCAATGATGAGATGAATATTCGTTAATATAGTAATTAATACCTAATAATAGTTTAAACCTTTAGTTTTCTCCAGTTAATCCTGTCACCAAGTCATTATCGCTCCACAAACGTCTTTAGAACAAGATATTAATACTCTTTGCATACTAACCTCTAAGATTAATGCAGTTCTAACCAATTATTTATTAGAAATCAAGTAGAGCCATCAAAGAGCGTTTCATAAACATTAATTGCGTCTAACTATACGTCCGTCTGTCAGTAAATTATCAAAAACCACAGAACCAGTGTGGAGATCACGTAATTGTGTGTAAACACTGTTTACAACTTAATACTACGACATCAGAATTTAATTTACTGTTAGCCGAGCTGTGTTTATAGGAAATTGTAGGTCTAAGATGATACTGGAGGCCTAGCTCGCAAGCTGAGGCGTATATTTTTTTTCTTGCTTTTTATAACGTACTAGATGTTTGGCATCCAAACAGATTTGACCTCTGTGCCAAACCTTAAAAAGCATCCATATGAAAACGTCAAGAGACGGCGACAGAAAAAAATATTATGTCAATAACTTAATCAGGCAACGATCGCTTGAGCCCCGTGAGCTGTAATTAGTGGGCAGTTGTACGAAATATGAATGGAGGCTGCGCGGACGCACAGCGCCGCGGGCGCGACCGCAACACCCATAACATTGAACATCAGGTCACTACAAAGTCAACCAAAGGACTCACATTATTCGCAAGTAATGATAGACCTTTTTTAAACAGCTCACGAACCCAGCATGACATCTAGTTGAAGTATCTACGATCCCGTCCGAAGATATTGGCCAATAAAGGCGAACCGTAGACTTATAAGGCAGCCCTCCGCCGCGACGAGACGCCGACAGAGCGAAAGATCAACGCTAATTAAGCGCCATAAAACCGAATATCGTTCTCATACCGTCGTTACCTTTCACCGCGGCCGACAACGAATTCTATTGAAAAAAAACAACTCTTTTTGGACTTCACATACACGAGCGCACGATATGAGGATGGTAATAGATTAATGATATAGGTTGCGAGGTCTGTATTTAAAGGTGGGTTAGCGGGGAGGGCGCGCGCGCCGCCACCCGCGCGGTGCCAGGCGGGCGCAGGGGCGCGGGGACGCGGGGGCGCGCGCGGGACGGCCGCGCAGGCGCCGGTGGCGCGCCGCGGGGCGTGCTCGGCCCCACGCGTACACCTCTTATTGAGAAATTCCCGAGATGATGCATAATTCTCGTTTTGGTTTCCTCTCTGTAGTTATTTTACTCCTTGTTAACAATATTACCGATTCGGTGACCGACGCAGACGCATATTTTATCTGTTGGTTTTAAACTTTAACTGGACGCTTGATTTATGGCTCGCCGTTGAGTTTGGTGAATGGCAATGTCCAAATTGGTGCTTTTAGACAAGTTATTATCTTTACGCAGGAAACAGTAAACGAGATTCACAACACAAAAGATGTAGTCATTTTACGTAGTCATTTTGTGAGCCTACACTTCCCGTGTTCAAACCCCAATCAGTCCCATCTCACAATCATATAAGAAACGAAACCGAAAGTCCACCAGCTCCCGTTCACTCCCAAGCTGTTAAAACACCAATCTCTTATCAGACAGTTATGTTAATAAGACATGCTAATTCCCAAAACCAACAAACGGGGAGCAAAGGGACCAAAAAAAGGAGTTAAGGGCCTCGGGGTCAAAAAAGGAGCAAGACTGGAGACGGCGCCAGGCGCAATTACGCAG